ATCTTCCCATCCTGTGCGAGTCCATCCATCGCTAACCAAAAATTATCCCGGCAAAGCAACCGAACAGCGATGTGTAGAAGCATAGCTGGAAACATTGCCTGTGGTATTCATGTAAAGAGTGCTGTTGTAGAATTCTGGTGTTCTCGCAGTCGCATTCGGATTCGCAGTGGCAGTCGCAGTGGCAACATCAGCGGCAGTCGCAGTGGCACTGCCAGTAGTTGCAGTAGCAATAGCTACACGAGCACCAGCAACAGCAGCAGCAGCAGCAGTAACAGTAACAGTAGTAGTAGCAGTAGAAGTAGTAGTGATGGTAGTAGTGGTAACAGTGAAGGAGTAGTTGTAGTGTGTGGAGTGAACGAGTAGGAGTGATGGGAGCAGTGGTAGTAGCAGTAGAAACACTGCTTTCGATAACGGTATCTCCAAATGTTCCCTGCCGCAGGCTGAGGAGCAGCGCTGTTCAATGCAGCAGGGTCAGGAGCACCGCCGCCAGACCGAGAACTATCAGCATGTCCTGGCATCAAGGTGCGCAGTAGGCGCTGCGCAGTTCCTTTGAAAGGAAATCTTCGAAAGCAGGGCCGTAGCCAAGAAGGCTACGGGGACGATGATGATGATGATGATGAAGACGATGAATCTTTGAAGTCTGGGAAGTGGAAGAGCACGAAGTGGCGTACAGTTGGCTCCGGGCATTCAAAATGTGGCCCGGGAGTGGAGTTCTGGGAAGTGGAAGAACACGAAGTGGCCTACAGTTGGCTCCGGGCATTCGAAATGTGGCCCGGGAATGGTGTTCTGGGAAGTCCAAGAGCACGAAGTGGCCTACAATTGGCTCCGGGCATCAAGAATGTGGCCCGGGAATAGAATTCTGGGAAGTCGAAGAGCACGAAGTGGCCTACAGTTGGCTCCGGGCATCCAAAATGTGGCCCGGGAATGGAGTTCTGGGAAGTCGAAGAGCACGAAGGGGCCTACAGTTGGCTCCGGGCATTCAAAATGTGGCCCAGGAATGGAGTTCTGGGAGGTCGAAGAGCACGAAAAGTGCGACTGTTTGCTTAAAACGAGCCCGGCCCTGAGCCCGGCCCTCGCTGTCCGGGTTCCGCCCAGACCCCCCTGGGGACTCATCAAATGCTCTCTTTTGACCCCATTAGAAACCTATCAGTCTTCGCTGTTAGGTAATATCTCCTTCGCTCCCGAAAAATCCTGGTGCCACGTGTAGGTCGGCGGGAGCACAAGAAATAGTACGGGGAACTGCGAGGACTGCATTCCGAACCAATTCGCGAGATCGGGTGGCTCGTCAAGCAGGAGGCCCAAATCTAGATCGGCGGTCAGCTTGGAGCACCAGGTTGACTTAGTGACGCAAGGTGGAGCAAAAGAGTGCTTCAGCTGAAAGGGACGAAATGTCCTGGAAGGAAGTCCTTGAGCCAGAATTGTTATGGAAGGTAGGAAGGGAGAGGGATGGGTAGGAGAGACAGAAGGACGGAGGAGGAGCCACAGAAACACCACGTCGGGATGAGGGCACTCTCTCGGGGGGCCCGCAATGTCTAAACAGGCGTGCGCCTAAAATCAGGAGCGGTACCACCCGACGGCCTTTTACGGCACACGTTCTCCCTGTTGATGTCTCTACGGGCCGCCTTGTTGAGTACGAGCACGAACGAAAACACTGGTTTCTGCACGCGGAAACTGCTAAAGCATGTCGTACACTTCTAGCCCGCTCTGGACACGCGCCGTTTGGGATATTTGCTCGGCAGCCTAACTCCACGGGAGGCCCCAAAGACGCCACTAGGTTTCCCCAAAAACGCCACTAGGATCCCTCACAGGCCTGGTCAGATCACCCCATAATCAACAGGAATCGAAATACCCTGGGGACACTCAAGAAAGCCTCGGATCCCCCAGCAGCCCCTCCCCTGACCGGTGTGATGGCTTGCGCAGCTTGGCTGTCCCCGGGATATGGCGTGGATCCCGCGGGAAAAGGCTGTCATCCCTCGGGGTTGCACCACAGTCAGGGGAAACCAGGCGGGAATCACAGCATCCACTCCATGATCTACACGATCGAAAAAGCCACACAACTCCCACACCCCAGCATGCCCCGTGATACCTCCAGCTCTTGCTGGGATGCTAAGGGGGGAAGGGGGTGGGTCGGAGGAGTGAGGGGGGGGGACTGGGCAGTGGTGGTGCAAGACCGCACTCTGCTGTCCGCGGTTGCCCATGGCAACTCTAAAGAGACATCCAGGCGGACCACTGGGGCCCGATGAAGACCCCAAGACACGGCGACAACGACGACGGCGACGACAACGACGACGACGACGACAACTACAACTACGACGACGACGACGACGACGAATACGACGACGACGACGTCGACGACGACAAATGACGACGACGACAAACGACGAACACGCCAGCGACGAAGGCGGCAACGATGGCGGCGGAGACGACAACGGCAAGCACGATGACGGTGGCGACGACGACGACCACGGCGACAACAACGGCGACGACGGCGTCAACCACGGCGACGGCGACAGCGACGACGGCGACGACCATGACGGCGACGACCATGACGGCGACGACGGCGACGACAACGACGACGACCGACGACGACGGTGGCGACTACTGCCGCGACGATGATGGCGACGATGACAACGGCAGATGACCGCGGCGACGACCGCGACGATGGCGACGACGGCGTCGGCGGCGACGGCGGAGGCGACGATGGGCCGAAGACAAGCGTCTGGAGACATGGGCAGCATGGGCGCCTGAAATTCTAAAAACTTCGGGCTTGCATACCCCCTCACAATCTCCCCCTCCTCCTCCTTCCCCGTCTACAGCCTCGGGAATATGTCCTCTGACACGACACGGTTGCCCAGAGAACACTCGGAAGACAAATGCATGACATTGCGCCCCTGCAACACACATGCTGTTCGCCCCAGCCGCATACATCCTGTTGCGGACGGGCCACATAAATCGATCGCGTTTGGAGGAGTCGCGGGGCGGCCGCAAAAGTGCGGGGCTGCGACTGACAAATTCAATAATCCGATCGCAATTACACCACACATCGCTCACTCGTGGAAAACCCCCCACGCACCCAGAAAATCATAATTACAGAACCCCCTGCAGAGGGACCCCCTGGGGCCACCCACTCCTTTAATTTCATGTTGTTAAGGTCAGTGGATGGAGCCTGGCTTGGGGTGTTTCGCCTGAGACATCCTCAGAAATTGCCTGGTTTGGCCCCTGGCTTGGCATGGTTTGGTTTGGCCGGGTGCCCCGCCTGAGACATCCTGAGAATTTGCATGGTTTGACCCATGGTGTTAGCATGGTTTGGGGCCTGTTTCGCTTGAGATGTCCCCACACGTTGCTCGATTTGGTTGGTTTCGGCGCGCTTTCGCATGAGAGGTCCTTACGATTACCTGTTTTAGTTTCGGCACGGTCTTGTCTGAGACGTCCTCAAGAATCTGTTTTGCTTAGTTTGGTTCCAGTGCGGTTTCGCCTGAGGCATGCAACGATTGTCCCGTTTGTAGTGCAAACCCACATCGGCACCAGCGATGTGGTGCAAGGTATGTGGCACATGTGGAGGAAGCTGTGTTGAGCAAGCTATGTGGTGCAAACCCACATCGTCGCAAGCTGCGCGGTGCAAGCTATGTTGTGTAAAGTGCGTGGTGGAAAGAATGTGGTGCAAGCTATGTGGTGCAAACCCACGTCGTCGCAAGATGTACGATGCAATCTATGTGGTGCATAGTATGCGGTGGAAGCTGTGCCGTGCAAGCTATAAGTGCAAACCCACTAATTATCGCGGCGTTGGAACGGCGTCTGGCCTTTGAGGAGCCAAGAGCCCCAACTCATGAATCTCCTGGGCGCTCCCAGAGAGTTCCGCATGACTTGTCCCGCAGTCATTGGAAAACCTGGCGGGTGTTCTTCAATGCTTCGGCCCTGCAGAACCCGACATGTCCCAACGACCCTTCCTGTACCAAAATGGACCCCGACACCGCAAAGAGGCCCCCCAGTTGCGCTCAAGAGGCACTACGAGACTACGAGGCCCAAAAGAGGCTCGCAAGAGGCCCGCGAGAGGCCACCAAGAGAGGTCCCCCAACTGGCCCCAAGACCCCAAGAGGCTTCGAAGAGGCTTCGAAGAGACCTCCAAGAGGCCTTCGAGAGGCATCCCACGGGACCCCAAAAGGCATCAAGAGAGCTCTGACCTACGAATTAGACACGGTGGCCGGAGGGGCACAAGGCCACTAGATAAGAGTAGAGCTTCGGGCTCGGCGGAGTACCTTTACGGTTGCCCAGGGCTAGGGGGCAGGGACTGAGGGACCGCGGATTTCGTTTGGAGGGGGCAATGCTGCGGATTATGTGGAATGCCACGCGAATTGCCTTGAACGTAATCATGTTTCACCACTGACGTGTGCAAATGTTGGCGGTGTCTCGGAGTTGCTTTTGGTGTATCCGCCACCGTGCCCTTGAGACATGAGTTGGAGTGTCCTCAGGTCCCGGCCCCGATAGGCTCCTAAGAGGCCCCCCAGAGCGTTCCGAAGAGAACCCAAGAAGCATCCCTGAGGAATCTAACCCACAACCCAGGCACTCTGGCGAGATGAGCCGAAAGCAATTAGATACAAGTGTTGGCGGTATCTCGGAGTGTCTTTTGGTGTATTCTGGGGCTGCGTATCTAGACGATCAATCAACGGTGTGCCGCGGGACCACTTGACGCTCGTTTCCAAACAACAACCATTGCGGACACCACAGGCCAATTCGCCTGGGACCAATGGTCAACAACACTGGGATGCTTGAGCGGATACTTCATCGCTGCTCACTGCCTCCTACCTCCCCCAGCCACTTCCAAGCCAGAACACGTGCGAAACGAATATCAGCTGAAAAATTGCCGCTAATTCGCTTCGAGACAACCGACTCGAAGCAATTCTGAAGAAAACGTCAAGCGAATATGCAATGAACAAACTTCCGGCGCAGACGTCTCATTTCGCAGGTGCTCTGTAATGGGATTCCGAATGCCAGCGCGGATCCTGCGCCAGCTCGGCCATCTGCGCAGCCTGCACAATCTGAGCGAGAGGGTCGTCGAGGACGACGCTGCTGCTGGGCGCAGGGTACAGCCTTGGCAGGCCTGCTCAACAACAGGGTTGGGGCGAATGTGGCCAGAGTTGGTTGAAGCCTGGATGGAATGATCGCGATTCTCGCCGCTACGCCGTAGCGGCGAGAGTCGCGCGCAGCGGATGGCGACCATAGCGGCTAGGGTCGCCATCCGCTGCGCCCGACTCGGGATTGCAATCTGCCCTTTGCTTATGGGCCATGAGAGTTCCGGTGCGTTTGTAACATCTTGCGCTACAGTGCAGGCCAGTCCACAAGAAACCTTCCACAAGAAACCCAACCCTGAGACCCCAGGACGTCTATTGATTCTTGGTGTGGGAACGTCGCGCTTTCCATAGCAAAACCATTGAAACCCAAGAAACACAGGGCACCCTGGAGGCGAGCAGGTTGTTTTTTGGCATGGGTCCCCACTGTAGATCAAGACAAACCCAAACGATCTCGGGGACGATCCGCCGAATCTGTGGTGGCCTTCCAAGAGCGCGATCAACCACTCACTCGCCGACCTCCTGGGGCTCCTCGGCGAATGAGATCCTCGCCACTTCCCAAACAAAGAGCCCGCGAACGACGTACGCGCCCACCCACGTATATGAGCACCGTCCCCCAATCTGCGAGACCGGCCGCGTGGTACGAACGTTCTCGCAATGCGTACTCTCGAAATCGACGTGGATTCATGTACAGTAGGAGCTCGACCACGAGAAGCCTTACACAAGAAACACTACCCTGAGAGAACCCAGGACTTCCACTGATTTGTGGTATGGGAACGTCACGCCTTCCATCGCAAGACCATCGAACCCCAAGAAACCCAGGTGACCGTTTTCTGATTCGGCGTTTCGAAGTTGGGCGGAAGGGTGGGGCGGAGGGCGGGGTCTGGCTCAGGACCTCTGCTTAGTGCGACTAGTTGCAGCAGCGCGTCCTTGGGGGGGGGAGAGGCTCCACCTGCTCGCAACAGGCGCGAGGGCCCGCGCCGATCGGCAAAACAACGAACAAGAGAACATCGACCAGGGGCACCCTGGAGGCCGAGCAGGGTGCTTCCTGGCATGGATCTCCCACTGTACGATATACGGGTGCGCGCGGCGCGCCCACACAAAGGCAACGAAAACGGACAAAAAGATACTGCCTCGGCCAGGGGGGCGCTGGCGCGCTGGCACCGCACCGTGGAGGGGGGGGAAAGGGGAGGGCAGGGAGGGAGGGAAGGGAGGGAAGGGAGGGGAGGGAACGTAGGGAGTGTCCTCGGAGGGTCTTGACACCCACAAGCGGTGGGTGCGCACCTGGGACACGTCCGAGGGGCGGGGCCTCACCTCGCCTGAGCCTCCGCCCTGCGCACTCGCCCCAGGTCACATTCGGCCGCCGCGGCAGGGACACGGGGTAGGGGATGATGGGGAGAGTGAGGCCCAAAAAGGAGGGGGAGAAGGAGGGGGGGGAAGGCGGTGGAAGGGGATGCGAGCACGAGGACGAGGTGGGGGCATTCCTGAGTATCCCCGGCGTTCCCAGGAGGAGAAGGAGGAGGAGCAGGACGGGGGGCGGAAAGGAGAAATGAGGATAGGGGGGAGGAGGAGGAGGAGGAGGAGGACGAGGAGGAGGCGCCGGTACCGCGCGGGGGCGCCGCGCTAGGGTGCTGGCGTCGCGAAGGGAGCATCCAGATGGCTCCAGGTCGCATCCAAGATCGCGCAGATGGTCCATTTTGGAAGACGGCCCCCGGCAGGCGTCCAAGAGGCCCCGACATGTTTGGCTTCTCGGGCTCTTATGTATGAGATAGCTCCAGGAGCGCCTATACGACCCTAGATAAACCCTGAAACGCCCGAAGAAGGCCCAACACGGGCCCTAAGAGGGACCTAAGAGGGCCTTTGGAGAGACACTTCCCTAGAGAGTCCCAAGACACCCCAAGAAGGCATCAAGACAGCTCATGAGAGCCCCAGAAGACCCAAGACGCGCCAGGACGGCCCCAGAGGGCCCAAGAGGCCCCGAAAGATCAGTAGGGTTTCTCGTGAGCACGATTTTGGGCTTCCCACTTTGTCGCACAGCACCAAAAGGCCTCTACGACAAGATCTGCGTTCCGAAAGAGCGCGACAAGCCCAGCTTAGAAGCACACAAGGCCCCCAAGGGGTGTGCGGATGTGGCGTAAGCTGACCACTCTTTCAGACAATCGCATGGCACAGATTCGGAGAAATGCATGGTCCCATCCCAGCCTGTCCGTAAGATCAGATCAGCAAGGCAGCACGCTGAGGTCAGCCGCGTCTGGCCCGCACCAGCTCCGGCGGTCAGCTTGGGCAGCTCGCAGGTGGCCGCGGCGGCTCGAGCAGCGACAGCAAGGGCCGCGGCAGCCGCAGCTGCTTCCCCCTGACTCTCGGAGGTACTAGCCGATGGCTTGTCACCTGGCGATGCGCCACCCACTCGGCAACATTCGACAGTGGTCAGACGTCTGCAGCGCAACGCCCAACAGATCAAGTGCTCCAAGATTGCCGTCCAGGCCCAGATGCCCCCTGAGGGGGCCGTTTTGAAAGCTACCCACCCAGCACTCCTGCACGAAACCTACGCGCAGCATCGCAGATCACATGGCTCCAACGCTGGCACTGGCTGTCAAGTTCGGACCCATGGCAAATGGGGCCGAATGGGGCCGGAGGCGCTTGGGTCGGAGGATCGCACCACATCGCCCAGGCATCGACGATGCATCGGCGACGCATCGGCGACGTCGGGATACACTAGGAGCTCGACCACGAGAAACCTTCCGCAAGAAACCGAACCCTGAGACCCCAGGACGTCCATTGACTTTTGGTGTGGGAGCGCCGCGCTTTCCAGAGCAAAATCATCGAAACCCACGAAACCCAGACACCACTGGAGGCAAGCAGGGCGGTTCTTGGCACGGGTCTCCACTGCAAAGAACACCGGGCTCCAAATCGCGCCACATCGCCTTTGCAACAGGAGGGAGCAAGCAAAGGGGCCCAGGAACACACAAATAGACGCAAATCCCAGGAGTCCCCGTATCTTCCCCATTTCTCTGTTTTTTCGTCTCCCCCCCTCACTTCCCATATTTTCCCAAATTTTTGCTGGGAGTCAACGGTTGATTGTGTCTGTGTGTTTCCCCCCTCCTGAGCACGGGAGCGCGGATGATCAAGGAAAGCGAGCCCCAAGGACGCGAGGGACCAGCACGGCCCAGACTCGCTGAGGGAGCAGGCTGGTGGCGCGGCATCGCGGGAGAGGGGGGAGGGGGCAAACCAGGTGCGCTCGCGCCGCATCTGATTTCCGAATCTGACATCCTATCCCAGAGAGCAGAAGTCCACCTTCATAGTAATCACCCCGACACGCGAAGCCGTGTAGTAAACGCACCCAAAGAAGGAATCCAACAGGGCAGGGTTGTTTAGTAAACGCCCAGGGCCGTTTAGTAAAAGCCAATTATCGGCGAACGGGTGGTTTGTACCTAACAGCGAAGACTGATAGGTTCTAGTGGTGTCAAAAGAGAGCATCTTGACTCCCCAGGGGGGTCTGGGCGGGATCCGGACGGGATCCGGGGGAATCCAGAGACTCTTTTTTTTAGCCCACAGTAACGCACTTCGTGGTCTTCGAGTTCCCAGAACTCCATTCCTGGGCATGATTTTCCATGCCCGGAGCCAACTGTAGGCCACTTCGTGTTCTTCGAGTTCCCAGAACTCCATTCCTGGGCATGATTTTGAATGCCCGGAGCCAACTGTAGGCCACTTCGTGGTCTTCGAGTTCCCAGAACTCCATTCCTGGGCATGATTCTAGAGGCGCGAAGCCAACTGTAGGCTGTTTCGTAGTCTTCGAGTTCCCAGAACTCCATTCCTGGGCATGATTTTCCATGCCCGGAGCCAACTGTAGGCCACGTCGTGTTCTTCGAGTTCCCAGAACTCCATTCCCAGACCACATTTTGAATGCTGAGGCAGGCTGAGGCTGAGGCTGAGGCAGGCTGAGGCTGAGGCAGGCTGAGGCTGCGGCCGAGGCTGAAGGCAGACTGAGGCTGAGGCTGAAGCAGGCTGAGGCTGAGGCTGAGGCAGGCTGAGGCTGAGGCTGAGGCAGGCTGATGCTGAGGCAGGCTGAGGCTGAGGCTGAGGCTGAGGCTGAGGCTGAGGCAGGCTGAGGCTGAGGCAGGCTGAGGCTGAGGCTGAGGCAGACTGAGGCTGAGGCTGAGGCTGAGGCTGCTGAGGCTGAGGCTGAGGCTGAGGCTGAGGCTGAGGCTGAGGCTGAGGCTGAGGCAGGCTGAGGCTGAGGCTGAGGCTGAGGCTGAGGCTGAGGCTGAGGCTGAGGCTGAGGCTGAGGCTGAGGCTGAGGCTGAGGCTGAGGCTGAGGCTGAGGCTGAGGCTGAGGCTGAGGCTGAGGCTGAGGAGGCTGAGGCTGAGGCTGAGGCTGATGCAGGCTGAGGCTGAGGCAGGCTGAGGCTGAGGCCGAGGCTGAAGGCAGATGAGGCTGAGGCTGAAGCAGGCTGAGGCTGAGGCTGAGGCTGAGGCTGAGGCAGGCTGAGGCTGAGGCTGAGGCTGAGGCTGAAGGCAGACTGAGGCTGAGGCTGAGCAGGCTGAGGCTGAGGCTGAGGCAGGCTGAGGCTGAGGCTGAGGCAGGCTGAGGCTGAGGCTGGGCTGAGGCAGGCTGAGGCTGAGGCAGACTGAGGCTGAGGCTGAAGCAGGCTGAGGCTGAGGCTGAGGCTGAGGCAGGCTGAGGCTGAGGCTGAGGCAGGCTGAGGCTGAGGCTGAGGCTGAGGCTGAGGCTGAGGCTGAGGCCCAGGCTGAGGCTGAGGCAGGCTGATGCTGAGGCAGGCTGAGGCTGAGGCTGAGGCTGATGCAGGCTGAGGCTGAGGCAGGCTGAGGCTGAGGCCGAGGCCGACGGCAGACTGAGGCTGAGGCTGAGGCAGACTGAGGCTGAGGCAGAGGCAGGCTGAGGCTGAGGCTGAGGCAGGCTGAGGCTGAGGCAGGCTGAGGCTGAGGCTGAGGCTGAGGCAGGGTGAGGCTGAGGCAGGCTGAGGCTGAGGCCGAGGCTGCTGATGCTGAGGCTGAAGCAGGCTGAGGCTGAGGCTGAGGCAGGCTGAGGCTGAGGCAGGCTGAGGCTGAGGCTGAGACAGGCTGAGGCTGAGGCTGTGACTGCGACTGCCGTTGCCACTGCGACAGTCATTGCGAATGCGACTACGACTGCGAGAACAGCAGAATTCTACAACTGGATGTTCATATGAATCTTAAGGGGAATGCTTCCATATATGATCCTACACATCGCTGTTAGGTTGCTTTGCCGGGATAATTACTCCCTGAATACCCGTCCCTCCCATCCCTTCCCATTGCGCTGTTTGTTTCTCTATCCGCGGACACGCGGCACACCATGCCCGATCTGGAGCTCCAAGAAGCAGACCCCATCGTATCGTGCGCAAGCGGAAGAGGGGAGCTGCGCACAACTGGAGGAGGATAAAGCAAAGGTGGCGGGCGAGCAGGAGGAGCAGATGGAAGATAAGGATAAGACCGTCGGGAAGCGCTACTCCCGGCACTGGTAATAGGCTTGGGCTTCCTTGGTGGAATATGGATGCAGCACCCTTGGATCGCTTGACCCTCGGGGCAGCCTGGGGCACGCGCGCCCTGCACAGAAGTAGGGGACGCACTGCCAGGATGCAGGAGGCCCCGCCCTGCTGGGGAACGGACAACAAAACAGACAGGAAGCACGGCTGCTCACATTCGTTGCGAGCGGGGCCGCGCCTCTGGCGACCTTTCGCCACCCGACTCCCCTCATCCACCTTCCCCCACACCCCCCTCCCAGAGAGAGAAAGAAAATAACAGCAGTTGCGTTAGTGTGCAATGCAGTGGCCGTCTCACTGGACAGCATGAGTACTAGCAGACTAGTCGCAGAGCCGCTCTCCGTAGTAGAAGTAGACCTTCTGGCAAGCCCTGCTCTGGATACGATACGACTGCCCCTGCGAGCGTAGTACCCCAGCAGTAGTCTGAGTTGGATATGTGGTGCCAGCTCTCACTCTGGCCGTTGTGCATATGCCTCCAGGCCTCCAATTCAGTCCACTCCAGGACCCCATCCTGCCGCCGCCGCCGCTAACCTCCACCTTGTGCGGATGTCTCCGCTCTCGCTCGTGACCTGGTAGCACCTGGTCTCCCAGCCCTTAGTGGGCTCGCTCGGCTTGTCGCGCGGCGCACGCGGCTGGAAGTTGCTGTGCGTCGTGTTCTGGCGGAGCGGGCTCTGCGTGGTCTGCGGCCCAACGACGCCGTAGCCCATCCCCCTCGCGCCCTTGGTCCACTTGGTGTAGTAGTCGTCAACCTCGTCGAGCTGCTTGCGTTCGTGGCCGTGTTCCCATGGGAACGAGCCGTGGAGGTGCCTGGAGCGATTGGTAAAGATGCTCTCCAGTCCTGATGCAGCGTCGAGCGCCTTCTTTACCTTGTCGATCTGGCGCTCGAGATGCAGCGCCGCCTACACCCTCTCCATCTCCTCGCACGGATTTTGGCTCGCGTTCGACTTGGGGGGCGGCCGAGCGAGATAGCAAGGCGTGCTTCTTGCCGCTGAAGCCCCGTTCACCAGCCAGTGCGTTGGAGGAAGGCCTTCTTCGAAGAACTTCGGAGTGGTGAGGAGGCTCGTGTGGGCGAGTTTGAACCGGTACTCCATGCTGCCAAAGATCTGCTCGTCCTGGCCGTTGCGGTGCTGGCTTCGCTGGGCGAGGGTCGGTAAGTTCTTCGCGCCGTCCTGCTGCTGACCACCCGCAGCGTTCGGAGAGTCCGCCCACGCCGCTGCACGGCCTCCGCGCAGTGATTGGGCCATGACGTAACTGCGTAACTGCGCAGTCCGCCTGGTGGAGCTCGCGCAGTAGCTCGTCTCTGGAAGCCTGGCTAGTTCGATGCGGACCGAAGTGGTACGAACTCTGTGATGTCGTAGCCTGGGCACAGTAGCTATCCGTTCTGTGCGCTGGAAGCAAAAATCACCTGGTTGGCGATGCTCTCTGGCCTGCTTGTGGTCTCGTGAGCCTTGTATGGAGCCCCATGTGTGTTGTGCCGATGTACTAGCCAACGTTGTTACTCCCTTTGCCGAAGTCGGATGGGGCCCTAACCGTTGTCGAGGTTACGTTCGTCCCTCATAGTCTTCACTGAATTTGAACCACTGCTGGTAAGTAATATGCATTCGCACGTAGCTGACACGGCTCGATTCCCCGGACTAGTTCCTCGGCGGTCTTGAAGAGGCCCTTGGAAGGGGGGGCCGTTGAGACTCGATCAAACCAAGATCCTTGCAGCATCCGTCACTATGCACAACAGAAGTATAGCAATGGTGGGTGAGGAGGGGGGGGGGGGCGGGAAAGGTGGTGGGATCCGTCGGGATTGTCCCTCTCACCCGTCACCTGTAATAGTCCCTGGACCTGAGGTCTCTGTAGTAGGTGGCCATGCGTAGTACA